CAGCGCGTACTGTTTTACAATTAATTTTGTGTAAGGAGGAATGCACTGTGTAGAAACAGATACAGGTGCAGCACAGTAACGTACATAAACAGTGGCATGGTCGTTCATCATCAAGTATTATGTGCTGCGCATATTGTGGCTAATATATGCCCAGATGACAGGCAGCGCTCTGTGTGTTTATACTAACAGCACAAACACAAAAGGGATTCCTTTCTACAGCATCATCACAGCTATAAGACACAGATAGACCGTAGGAATTCTCAGCCCCGTGGTAACCAATGGAGTCAGCACTGTGTGGGATGGTCAATCATGCTGTTGACCAGAATACATCACATGATTCGTGACTGTACTCTGTACATGCAGAGCCTTGGGTTTCTCTGAAGTACACCATTGGCTCATGCTAGTGGTAGTTTGAGAAGGTGAAGATGTGGGGAGGGAGGATGTGAGACCCAGGTTGAGTGTCTGTTGGAGAGGAAGGCACCGGCTCCAATCTAGCATTTCCTTCCCCAAGGTTCTCATCAGAGATGGCTTGAGAAGGAAGAGCATGGATTAGGTGAAGAACAGAGAGATAGTGAAGAGGGGGAGGGGCAAGACTGGAGCGGGGAGTTTAAAGCAGACTCCTCTTTGCCTCCGGAGAGTGTAAGAAAAAATGAAGCCCATCAAACTCACAGACCAAACACTGTTCTGACTTATGTAGTGTTTATAAAATACAAATCCATCTCTCTAGCATTTGTAACTAGTCATCAGGTTTACAGCCCAAACTTTTCCGACAAGAAGCAAATTGACCGTGTTGCTTCTTCTTAAATTTCACTCTTAATGACTCCAGTACGAAGATTTTTGTGAAAGGAGTTATTTTATGACTACTTATGAAATAGGGGGAGTTCAGACCCATAACAGTGCAAGACCTAAAGAATCTGTACTTCCTACTTTTGGCAAATGATGCCAGCTGCTGATGGTCCAGTTCCAGAAGACACACGGATCTTTATCTTTAAAGTAAGTTGAGTATATTATAAAAAAATAGAGCAGCAATCAAAAAATATTCTAAATAAACAGAAGCACAAACACAGCCACCCCCACAAGGGGTGTCAGCCTCAGTGGTCCTGTGGATCTGTGAGGACAGCCTAGCCTGTGCCAAACCACGGACAGAATGACTCCTGTCTACTTGTCACCTAGTAGGCTGGATTACTTCAGTCTCTGCAACAGATTTTAGAGATGAGAAAGCAGAAACCCCGAAGCTAAACAGCACCCAGACTCTCAGAAAACACAGCTGCAGGAATAGACTTCAGATCCATGCAGCTCAGACATGATCAGGCTGCCTCCTACATACTTGGCTTCATTCCAACCAAGTACCCTCTGTGCCAGGGCAGAAAGATAAGGGGTTTTTCTTAAGGGTCATGCCGCCTTCATAAAATGTTCCTTGTTGTGTCCTGGGTGCACCACACTTGAGACTTTCACTTCTGTCTCCTGCCCTTACTTAGCCAAACCATTGGTCTGGCCTGGAATTTGTATTCAAGCATCTCCCCCTTTCCTGCTTTTAAAGTAAAGACCGCCAGAGGGCGGTATTGACCTATGTTTCTTCATCCTAAGCACAGTAGCTGTGAAAAAGCATGGACAGCACTAAGATCACCCTCAGCTTGAGGAACACCCCAGCTAGACTTCTACCAACCTCTCTCCCTGGGACACAGACATCATCCCTGTGTCAAGTCCCCAAACATCTCAAAACAGGCTCTAGTGAATGTTGCTGGCTAGGCGAAATAAGAGAACCAGGTAGGAGCTGGTTCTCCTCATGGGTAGGCATTACAAGAGAACAGCTATGCAACGCTGTGACGCTCATCCCCATCTTGCAGACGAGAAAGCTATAATGCGATAGCTTTAAATTGGTCTCTGTCCTGACTCCCCATCACAACCCACTTCTACACCAGAACCTCCTCACAACCTGGGAAGCTATTTGTGTTTCGTGTGTAGAAAGGACAAGCCCATGGGCCCCCATCAAAGGCAAGGTAAGGTCCATGAGCCCCTGCTACTATAACCACAGCTAGCGGAGCATCCGCATCTCCCACTCCCTGGAGTTCCTGCATACCAAATGAGAACTGGATTTTACTATGTCTGCCTGCCCACTGTGTAGTCCTCAAAGCAACACTCAGAGGCAGTTGGATTTTTCCCTTGCCCAGTGAAGAAACTGAGGCCCGGAACCATTTCGCCTACAATCTGAGGTATCACAGTATCTCAGGAGTCCAGGTAAGAGTGACTCTCAAGTCCAGGGACAACACCTGGCCGCTCTTCTCCCTGGGAGTGCTGCATGTGATCCCCTTCAGCCCAGTACATCAGGTCAGTTCTTACCTGTTAGTCACCTGCCCCGGGCCTTTGTCCCCTGGTCTGAGCAAGAAAACGGAGTCATCACTTCACAATGTGTCCCAGAGAACTAAGTGAACCACTGATTGTGAAAATCCATCTTAGAGGGGCCCATCTTCATGTTAGATGAATTGACATGAGACCTCTAAAGATGCAAGGTGACAGTCTACCTCTCAAAGTCAAGGCCAGCTGTGACTGCCCCTGGTCAGCTAGTTTGGTCATATATCTGTGAATTGGCCCTTTCTGCAGAGGGTGAGGTACCCCAGGCTTCTGGAGCAGTTGAATGCCGGGAACACACACCAGAAATTGTGCCAGATCCTTCCTCTTTCCCTCCAGGGCCATCGCTCCCAAATGGCCAAAGCAAATAGAGGAAGACACAATGCTGGGCCTTCTGCCCAGAGCCGTCTCTCTCGCCGTTACCCGGCCTCCTGAAGCGGCCCTTGTCCCTCTCACTATCTGCCCTGTTGACTGCTTCCAGGCTTGGAGCTTTGTGTGTCACATAATCTTTTCCTTCACTTGTCTTGAGGAGGATGCTGTTTGTGTCTTCACATTATAGATAAACAAAGTGAGGCCTTGTAAGATCAGGGAACTTGGCCAAGATCACACAACCACCAAATGGCAAAGCCAGGTCCAATCCCAAAGCCTGTGTTTGTAATGCTCTGTTGTCCCTTGTATGGCACATGGGGATCAGAACACATGAGCAATCTTACTCAAGGAGGTGTGTCTCTAGACATTATTGAATTAGCTGCTGCTGTAGCCTTCCCTGGGATGGCTTAGACCCTACTCCTCAATCTTTTATTTATGTGTTTGTCTGATTGTCTATTTATATGATTAACCAGAACATGTTTCCTCAGATTTGAGGGTTCATGAAAATCTGAAATGGATTCCTCTGGTTAAGGGTTCACCCTATGAGGATGTACAGGGACCCAAGTTCCCAGCTTCTGCCCTCTGGGAACCAGACAAGGCCTCCTACAACCTGCCAGGTTTTCTTGGACTGCCCGGGAAAAAGAAACCAGATCCATGTGTAACTCAGGAGACTCAGGTGTGCATGTCTCTAAAAGTGTCTGCTAGCCAGGAGACTTAAAGGGAGCCCCATCATCTTCGAATATCACAGTCTGGCTATGTGATCTGTGACACCAAACATGCAACCCCAGCACCCATTCCTTTCATTGTAATTCTTGTCCCTCCTCCCCTGGCCTTTGACTGCCAAAAGCCAACAATTAGCACACAAGGCACAAGCTCCCTAAGGACCCGATTGTGTTTACCAACTCCAGAGGGGCTACAGTATAATATCCATCATTGCCTCTCTGTGCCATGTGAAACAATTTACTTCACAACCATGCTGTGAGTTAAGTACTGGGGCTTTTCCCCATTTTCACCTGAGGAAATTGGGGATGAGAAGAGCTAAGTCATGTGTTAAGGACCACCCCACCCAGAGGGAAGCTAGGATTGGTTGGTGAGTCCACCAGAGCTCAGGACCTATGCTTGTTGTGACCCTAACACTGCTTCTTTACGGGTGTTTACTCATATGTGAACATGTGCATGTGTGTGTGCACATGTACATGGGTGCCACGGAGACCTAAAGAGGGCACTGGATTCCACAGAGCTGGAGTTACAGGTTGCCCAATGCGGGTACTGGGAACTGAACTTGGGTCCTCTGAAGATCAGCAAACACTCTGCCCTGCTGAGCCACACCTCTAGACCCCTTCTTTCTGACCTTTGAAATTTTACCCCCAAAGCAAAGCAATGCTTCTTGAACCACTTAGAAACTACACAAAACAGAGCACCTCCATCCATAAAATTAATCTTTATGTTTCTATATATTGTATTTGTGTGTATACATATGAAAATATGTATGCTTTTAAAGCCTATTTCTCCAAGTTTCACTTAAACACAGCCATCTTTTCATTCCATCAAAATTTAATTGTTCTCCCTCAATGGATTTTTCATACCTGCATAAGGTCACATCATTTGGAGGAGGCACTATTAAACTAACTAAGCCTTCATTGCTGGCCATTGTTAACTACAGTTTGTTATGGTGATGTAATAAGCAGTGCCATAGTGGAGGTCCCACACCACCTCTTTGTTCTGTCCAGTTCTGGTAAGTGAGCTGCAAGGCTAATTGTACAGCTTTATGTCCATGATCTGGGCTCTCATGGGGTGTATTTTGAAAATTCAGGGCTCCACTGTCAGCTAGCTAAGTGTTCCTAGTTGAGAGACTAAGCAAAAATATACCGTCTCTTGTTTTAGTGTTCTGAAAAACCATGCCAAGTTTACTTATTTTGAACCTCGGGGAGCTTTTGAAGTCTAAGGTTTAGACCCGGTAGGAAAACCCTTTCCCTAACTGTCCATGAGGGGGACAGGTGGCTCTTTGGACTACAGGGAAATCCCTCCGACACAAATGCCTCCTCTCTAGGCAGGCACCCAAACATTGCAAATGGAAGCAATCCTGTGGTACTCACATTTGTCATGTGACCTGGCACACCTGTCCAGGAGACCATAGCGAGGAAAAGTCCTAGGCAAGCAACCTCTTTTGGTGGTGCCCCCCACCTTTTCAGCCTCAAAGAAGCATGGCATCTGGAGGAGGGGAGAAGTCAGGAGAAGGAAGCAGAGTTGGAAGGCAGCGGGAGGTATTAGAGACAGCTTACATCGATTTTCTTCCACCTGTTCCTTCAGAGAGATGGTGCAGCTGTTTCCAGAACTTCATCAGGAAAGAACTGCCTGCCCCACGAGGAGACCTCCAGCCACTCCCCAGGCTCAGAGCCTGATGTTTGTGTAAAGAAGAGAGAGGCTGGGCAAGCTGGGATCTACAAAAGAACCCCAAGAGAAAACCAGCCCTGGCTGAGCAGCTAAGAGAAGTTGTAAGGCCTGTCTGTAAGCCATGTCTCTGAAGCTGCAAGAGAGGGCAAGAGCATGGACAGCTGGGGGCCCTGGCATTGCCCAGTTCCCTCTGTGCCAGAGGCTTCTGCACAGCAACTTCCACAGACATTAGATCAGCAGAGGATCTGGAGAGACGGCTGTGCCTTGGAGCTAGAAATAAACTTGAATCATGGGTGTTCTTTCTCATTTCTCCCTGCAATCTAATTCCAATCCTCTCCCTTTTGATGTGCTTTTTAAGAGGCCTGTGGCTCATCTTGGTGGGTCCCCAGGCCATGTCCACAGCAGCCTTCCCACTGGCTTCTATCTGCCTACAGTGTGTGTGTGTGTGTGTGTGTGTGTGTGTGTGTGTGTGTGTGTGTGTGTGTGTTAGGAGCAGGGGGGAGCCGTATGAGACCTTTCCAGAGGTCATGCTCCGCTCTCACTCTCCAAGGGCTGGGGGATCTCTTGGCAACTCCAGAAAATGCATCTTCCCTTCCAAAGACCATAGCACAGGAGCTGTCGATAGTAGGAACGGGGTAGCCATTGGTTAGAGAATGAGGGGCAGGGGTGAAAGGAGAAATGAGGGATGGGGAGCAAGAAGCAAGAGGGAGTGGAGACAGATAGAGAGCGAGCCAGACATAGAGAAGGGAAACAAAGAGAGAAATACAGAATAAGCTGCAGAGGAGACAGGTAGGAGGAGAAAGAGATGGAAAGTAAGGAGGGAAGAAAAATGAAAGGGAAAAGAAATGTAAGCTAGGGCGATGAGAAAGTAAGCAGAGAAGACTGATGACAACACTGGCCATTTGGGGTATCAGCTGTAATAGCTCTCCTTTAGGGTATCATTAGTGGAGACCAAGACCACAACCAGCAGGGAAGAGAGGGAGGCGGGTCCTGGCCTGGATCTGCTGGCAGGTGACCGCCCCTGGGTGGGGCCACCCAGCAAAGCCCTCGGGGTATAAGTCACAGGAGGCCAGGGCCAGCTGAACACCTGTCAGGGACAGCTCCAGAGAGCACAGGTGCAGCCGGTGGCTACCCGAACCCAGCCCCAGCATGAGCTCCTTCGACCTCCCGGCACCCTCGCCACCGCGATGCAGTCCCCAGTTCCCCAGCATCGGCCAGGAGCCCCCCGAGATGAATCTTTACTATGAGAATTTCTTCCACACTCAGGGCATGCCCAGCCCTCAGCGCCCCACCTCCTTCGAGGGTGGTGGGGAGTATGGGGCCACCCCTAACCCCTACCTCTGGCTCAATGGGCCAGCCATGACCCCACCACCCTACTTGCCTGGCACTAACGCCAGCCCCTTCTTGCCCCAGGCCTATGGCATGCAGAGGCAGCTACTGCCCAGCGACCTGGGCTGGCTGCCCATCCCCTCTCAGGAGGAGCTCATGAAGCTGGTGCGCCCACCATACTCCTACTCAGCCCTCATTGCCATGGCCATCCACGGTGCACCTGACCAGCGCCTCACGCTGAGCCAGATCTACCAGTACGTGGCTGACAACTTCCCCTTTTACAACAAGAGCAAGGCAGGCTGGCAGAACTCCATCCGCCACAACTTGTCCCTCAACGACTGTTTCAAGAAGGTGCCCCGAGATGAAGATGACCCAGGTAAGACGGCGGTGCATAACGAGCAGGAGACCACCCCTTGGGAGGCAGCAGGTATCCCTGAGGACTTATTTCCTTTCTGCTCCAAACTGTATTCTAGAAAGTTCTAACTACAGCTGCCACTCTAGCCACAAAACTGGGAGCTGCTAGGAGACAGGGCTAGAAGGAACTCTGCAGTGGAAGAGGAGAATGTGGGCTCTGGAAACAGACTCAGGCTTCCGGGTCCCAGGGAGGTTGCTTTTGCTGAGCCTGTTTCCTTATCTGAAAAACAAAAATGGGAAAAATATCTATCCAAACATGTTTCTGCACAGTCTTTGTGTGAACAAAAGCTCAATACATTTCAGTCATTATGATTCACATGTGCTTCAGTGCCCAGCAAAGAAGTCCTTGGTAGAACTAGACCATGCCAAGCCCGAGTGTGCCGTAGCCACCCCTGTAGCAGAGAGGGCCTAGCCTTGGTTGTCACCATTGATGGCCCCATGGTATGGCTCTGCGTGTCCTCCCCTCCATACAAAACCTCCTTTAATCCTGGCAGCACCCTGCAGGATGTCTCTTACTGAACCCATTGCTCAGATGAGGAAAATAACATTTGAGGTGAAGCTGCCTTCTTAAAGTTACATAAATTGGAGTGGTAGTGATGACCCTTGACTTAAACACAGCTCTGTTGCAGAGACTGGAATGTCCCTTTCAAATGATGAGTCACAGACACTTGCAGAGAGCAATGCGAAATAATCCTGAATCCAGTTTCCAGAAATGAAGTCTAGTTTGGCTCTCATACAGGAAGCCAGGGTATGGCTTGGAACCCTACCTCTGTCCCCTTTGAAGTCAGCCTTTGTCAGATTGATTTGTCGCTCAGAGGAGAGACTGTCCCATGCTAGGTCTTCTCCCATGTTCTAGCTCAGTGTACCAGGGAACTGTTGGGGCATCCCTTTTGGTGGCACCTCAGTTGCACGGCTCTTGGACACATGCAGTGTCTGTCCTTTCCCATAGTGAGTCTCAGGAAACGGGCATTTTTCAACCCAGAAAACTGAGATTTATCCAGAGTCCTTTGTCAGTGAGGGGCAAAGCTAGGGCTCAAGTTCATTTTCAAGATGCACATCCAGGGGTCCAGACTATTCCCTGGCTTTTCCTGAACCTTAATAGTAAGTAGAAGCCCCAACCAGTATCCCTCCACACCCTGGATCCCTGTACCCTGACTCTTTACCCTTACAGGGATCAATCTTGTAAAGTCCTTTAGGCCTTATGCTGTGTTCCAAACACTCCCTGGAGCCTTTTGTGGGGGGGGGGCACTATTTAGAGAGAGATGGACTGTAGCGCAGGTATGTTTAGAGAAATACAGGTGTGTGGGGTGCTTAGAGAGAGGTGTGTAAGGTGGGCAGATGTCTGCAATTTCTCCATTTCTGCCCCAGGCTTTGCTCTTTTCTTTGCATTGTCGCCCTTGATTTGCGTTCACAACTTTGCAGACGAACGGAATGAGGCCTTGTGTCCATCTCTCTGTTTTCTGAACGTCTCCCACTTTTGTCTCAGGCAAAGGGAATTACTGGACTCTGGACCCCAACTGTGAGAAGATGTTTGACAATGGAAACTTCCGCAGGAAGAGGAAGAGAAAATCAGATGCTTCCTCGAGCACAAGCTCCTTGGCTTCAGAGAAAACGGAGAATAGTCTCCTGGCAGGTAGCCCCAAGTCCACAGAGCCTCAGGACTTAGACACGGCCTCACCGGACACCACCAGTTCCCCAGAGAAGTGCTCCTCCCCTGCCCCCTCAGGCACCCCATGCCTCAACAACTTCCTCTCCACCATGACAGCCTATGTGAGTGGAACAAATCCTATGAGCCGCTCGGTGACCACACCAGGACTGAGCCCGGAGCCTACTGACAAGATGGGGCAGAACTCACTGAGTTTCAACTCCTACACGCCCCTCACCAACCTCAGTAGCCATGGGAGTGGGGGTGAATGGGTCAACCCGGTACCTACCAATGCTCTAGGCTATGGAGGCTCTGTCCTCAACCAGTTCAGCCCACATTTCTACAATAGCATTAACACCAACAGTGTTCTCTTCCCCAGGGAAGGCACCGAAGTCTAGGGACAGGACAGCTTCTGGCCCACAGAGCCAGTGGTCAAAGGGAAAGCAATGGAGGTCAGACCCTCTGCTACCCCCAAGATCTGAGGCATTTGAACTTCACAGACAGTACAGGAAGCTAGGAAGAATCTGTGTCCTACCAGGAACACTGTCCAATACTTCTGATTGCCACATCCAAATCGACACAGATTTGGTAACTATGGTAGTCGTACTCAGTGTCAGCTTGCGACCATTTGAGCATTTACTATGTGCTGGGTCCTGTCATAGTGGGCTTTTTAATGACGTGGTCACAGTATGTACAGTCATCCTTTGAAGTTCACATGACCCTCTCCATTTGATAGATCATGAAATTAAGGCTTGAGAAGATTGGGGGCCTTCCTAGGGTCGTGAAAATCACAGAGAAAGATGTCAAAGCAGGGTCTGGGTAACCCTCAAAGACCGGATCAAAGGAGGCAGCGGTGGAGGAACTGGAACAGGGTCAGCATAAGAAGCTGGCTGTGGCAAGTGCGTGTTTCCCTCCCCACTGCCTTCTGGCTTCCCATCAGAATTCACAGCAGCTTGAGCATGACTCATCCCCACCTGAACCTTTCCTTCGTGCATCAGCGTACAGGGGCACGCCTTTAGCTGCCACTCACAGGGGAAGCTAACAGCAAGATACCCAGCAAAGTACCTCTAGCAGGTGCAATACAGGGCCTCACTTTCCTAGCCTCTCCCCCTCCAGAACTTCAACAGAGCCAGAGGTCAGCGAAAAGAGTGGTGTGCACCCCTAAACCCGCTTCCCAGTACCTCCCACCCACAGAATCTCGTAAACCCCCGCTTCCTGTGTATGTGTCATGGACCAGTGAACAAGACATGGCTTGGGCTTCCAAGAGAATCGAGGCCAAATACGTAGAATAAGCTGTCCCTTTTTACAGCCCTGGAGAGGTGGACACTTGTCTGAGAAACAATGGCCTCGAGGGAGGGGTCCTCTGCCCTTAGAGGGCACAGAGACTGTAAGCAAAGCCTCTGGGACTGCTCTCCCTTGGTGTTGTAAATTACTTTGTATGACTGTGGTTTCTTAGCACAGCACACACTGAGAAGTGTTGTTTGCTTTTCTTATTTCTTTTTCATTAAAAACAAGAAAGAAAGAAAGAAAGCTCTTCAGGAGTGTGTGGCCCTTCCTTGTGTTCTCCTTTTCCTCTGTTGTCATTGAAGCCTGAGGCTGAAGGTGCTTGAGGCAGGAGGCAGAGAAGAGTGGGTACCAAGACTTTCCCACGGCTTCATTGCTGTGGAGCTGGTCAAAGGCCCCTGCAAGGCTATGGAGGATGGGGTAGGTGCATAGCTGGAAGGAACCTACCCGTGTCACATACAGTATGGGCGGGGACATATCCCAGCTTCACAGCTCACGCAAACCTCATGATTGTGCTATGAACACGCACAATCATGGGAAAGGGTACAGCTGGTCCAGGCAGATGAAAAAGCGGGGTCAAAGTGGTGGAGTGATATGCCTGAAGTGCACATGGGCCCCCTGCCTCGGTCACTCTGACCTTTGTACTCATCACTCGTCAGCTATGGCCACTGTTAGTAACAGCAGGTCTGTTTGCAGGCGACATCCCGCAGTCAATGGCACTGAACATGGTGACATGAGTGTGCACTGAAGCTGGAAGCCTTCTGCTTGAGGGCTTCCTCCTTGGTTGAGAAGAGAAAGGGGTCAGGCCAGGGGCAGCTGAGTGACTCTTTTTCTCTGAAGTGACAGAAGGGAGGTGGTGACCCATAGTAATACTATGATGATAAGCACATCGTCCCTGGGTTTCCTGGATGCCAGGCTCTGTTTTTGGACTTGACTGGCTTTTTGCCTTTTATCTATAAAGCCATCTAATGCTGCCCATCCTTTGATTTCCTGAGAGATCCGGCAACTGTGTGGCCCAAACATCCAGGACTCATAGGCTATATCAAAGTGTCAATAGAAGGCCTTTACACGTCTGTTACCAGAGAGCCCAATACTAGATGTAAGATCCCATAGTCACGAAAACCAGAAGCAGTGGAAGGCCCATCCTTCTGCAGTGAGACTTGTTGCTCATGTGTGGTGATGGCTGAGGAGAGAGCAGAGAAGGGACAGTGTGTCTGACCAAGAAAGTCAGAACAGGCTGTTCCTCTCTGCCTGCTGCTGGGAGGACAAGGGACTTTACCTATGGGGCAATAGAATCAGGGGCATAGTTAAAATATAGATCCCCGAAACCCAAACCAGGATTTTTGTCACACTACATGTTACTGTCACCAAATTTGCCTGATCCCAAAACCCCATCTTCACCATTGCTATCTCACTGCCTGCTCTTCATCCTCAACTTCTTTCCCAGATAGGGATACAATGAGTTAGGGGAGGGGGCCCAAAGAAAGCCAGACCACCCAAGAAGGAAGCCAGCATCTTAAAACCAAACTCCACAACCCGATTCTCTAGCTTTTCTTTGGCTCAGAATTTAATAGGGGCAGCAGCGGAGGGGAAGTCTGGGGATTCCTATTATGTGGAGACCCTGTCAGCTCTTGCCTGAGTCTGTGCAGGGGGCCATCTCTTAGTATCATCTGCAAGTTCACGGAAAAAGGCAAGCACATGTCTGGATCCAGGGAGAGGAGGGAAGCTATCAAGAAGATATCAACTATTCAACCTTAGTGGACATGGCAAGCTGGACAGAGGGAAGATGGTGAGAAAGAAGGAAGGAGGACTGGAGAAAAGAATGAATTGACCTAGCAAGGTTACGAAGGTACTTAACTCATCAGTCATCTATGCTTTAGCTCTGCACTGAAAGCGTTTTCTAGCATCAGTGAGAATGTAAAAGGAGGACTTCCTGAGTATTGGAGGGACCAGGGAAGGTTTCATAGGGGAGTGAGACACACCAGCTATTTATACATTCACCTTCATACCACCTACCTTAAATTAGGGGGGTCTGTGTTTCCAACATGGAGGTTCAGGGCAATAACACCTCAAAGTAGACTATATAATACAGGTTATATGACATGCTATATACATGCACAATAATCTCACTTATTTTGATGGGTAAATTTGCAAGGAAATAAAAGTTAGGAAATGCTACCCACAAAATATCAAGCTGTCTCACTTTCTGGTGGGTGGTGAAATATAAAGTTGATCTTTCCTTCTGGGTCATACAGCGTATCTTCATGTTTAGTGACTAGACTATCTGCCCAGCCAATTATTGCTAGAAATCAGCTTGCTATGTTGATTCATGGCCCCAACCTATTCAATAGCTGACTGGCCTCTAGTGTGGCACATGACCCAGGCCTGTTTCCAATGATGGGGCAAGACTGGGTTTCCTTAGTTCAGACGTAGCCTGCATGTAGACAGATTAGGGCTACGTTATAATGAAAGGAAATTGATGTGAGGTCAACAGCTGATATAGAACATGTAACCTTCCCAGTCTTATTTGTTGTAAGGTCAAAACTAAACAAATGGGGGTTTGGTGTGGGATTCAAGCTTGGTGAAGCTGGCATTGGCACCCTTGGCAGATGAGACAGATCTGGATGCAGGACTGGAAAAATCACAGTGGGGCATCAGAAGAGAAAAATCAGTCAGCAGGAGAATCATCAGCATGAATGGGAGGAACATGCTGGCAGGTGACTAGCACCTTCTGTCATATTATCCCTGATCAGCTGCTGCTGTTATTGTCACCATTTGGCCACAAAGACACAGTGGACAAAAAAAGATTTGAAAATCTATCAGGATCTCAAACAGCATCCTGTATAATCTAGACCTTGAGCTTGTCTGCTTCCTTGGAAATAGACATTGTGGGACCTGGTTATGAACAATCCAGAGGGAACTTTCTCAACTAAGGGAGCATGGTGACACAGCATCTGGATTCAGAGGGATGTGTTGGCCAGAATACCACTGGAGGCCGGAGCCTTATCCTCATGAGGACCTTAGCTCAGACTCTGGCCCTGCATGGACTACATCTCTCCTGTGCAGATGGCTTCCAGAACACCACTAATTGAAAAATATAGGGAAATTATTGAGAATTTACTTTTTGAGTTTGAGAATTTATTATCTTTTTTTGTAGATTTTTCTCCGGTTTTTAATTTAATTTTTTTAAAATAATGGATATAGTTAACACAGAATGACTCCCACAAACTTAGACATCAGCTGTTGTGAGCCAGCTTGAGTTTGCTCTAATTTATGGACATAGACATGTCTCTGCCCCCAAACTTCCTCCTCAGGGAAAACAAAACCCAAAAGCAAAACAGAAACCTGCTAGAGTCAAGCTCCTGATGTTGCCATGTCCCTGTCGGGCCACCATCCTTTTGTCCCAAGCTCCATCCCCTTGCTATCTGGACCTTCATTTCTCATCTAAGAAGCTACAGTCATGTGTCACATTGGTGGATCAGCCAAGGACAGATGCGTATATGGCAATGAGAGTGTTCTCCTTAGATTCTGTATGTGTGCTTTTCCTCCTTACCAGTGATCAGCTAGCCTATTCAGCCACAGGTTGGAGGGCACTGCCACTGAATATCAGAACTCCCTTCTGCATTCACATATTCACCAAATGTGCATTAAGCAGCTGTGTTGTGCCCAGCATTGTGCTGGGAGTTAAAAATATAATGACCAGCAAATTTCAGTCACACCTTTGAGGAACTCATGGTCTGGTAGAGAAATGCAAACTAAATAGCACACAGTCTGAGCATGTGTTGTGATGGGTTAGGCAAAAAAAGGCAACTATCACAGATGAGGGGATCAGAGAAGAGTCCCCAGAGTCAATGACACTTGAGCCACTATGGGGAGCATTGTGTTTCCTTGGGGGAAGGAAAAAGGAGTGTCATAGGGAAGATGGAGTATGTTTAAAGACCAGGAGGTGAGAGACATGCACGTGCTCAGAACTGAAGCAGTAAGAATGAGAAGGCGGCCGAGCAACAAGCAGGATGGGACCTTGGAGGTCTCAAATCCCGCTAAGAGCACACACACACACACACACACACACACACACACACACGCACGCACGCACGCACGCACGCATGCACGCACGCACGCACACATACACACACACACACACCACCACCACCACCACCACCAACAACAACAACAACAACAACAGGGAGCCTGGCAAAGGCTGAACAGAAGCCATGAACCTTAGCCACACTGATGGCTTGAAGGGCCTCCTATTGTCACACCTCCTGTCTTCTGGTGAGAGCCAAGGAGCACCTTGCCCACATGGAAGCCCTATCTTTGACTGACATCTGGAGAGGAACTCTCAAAGAACTGTGTATGCAAAGTGGACTGAACACAACTGAGGTGTTTCCTTGTGGCAACACCTCTCACTATCTGTGCAGCAGAAGAGAAAACAAAAACAAAGGGTGATGTTACAACATCCAATTCAAAAGCACAGCAATATGATTGGACAATCTCTGGTAAATTAGTGGGCTTTCTTTTTTCAGGTTTTGTGATTTTTTTACCAGCAGGAAACAGGCAAATCTATTTCACCAAGGAAGATCTTTAAATAGATAATAAGCCTATAAAGAGATGCTCAGTCTCACTAATGATTCAAAAACTGTGCAAAAGAACGCATGTGTGTTGCTTTCCTCCACCTGCGCATTAACAAGGCCGAGGGCTGCCAAGCCCAGGATGAAATGAATTCCTGCCTCTTCTACTTTTGGATGAGGAACAAAGTGAAACAGCCTTTCTGAAGAGTAGTTTGACAGTGGACGTAAAAGTGTCTGATTGTGTCCTTTTGATTTGGAATTTCTTTTTGTCTGGGAATGAAAGCTACAGTGCATGCATGCATGCACGTGACTGGGCCTCACAGAGGTGTTTGGATCAGGGCGGAGCTTAGATTAGCAAAATGTTCACGACAGGGAAACCGTGGTCAACAATAATGAACGAGGTAAATGAAGCCCTTGTAAAGAACAAAAATAGTGTCAAATCTCAGGGGAAAGACACTGGGGATGTGTTGACAAGAGGCTCCACATGTTGCCTTTTCCAGTGGCTTTGGAGACAGCACTGGACTGCGTCATCAGTCCACAGTTGCAGATCTGACTCTGTCACAACGGGACGGAGCTGGTTGTGGGTACTCGTGGG